AATTCCAAAATGGCCACCAGTGAGACAGACTATTATGGTATATGAGTATTAATTCCAAAATGGCCACCAGTGAGACAGACTATTATGATATATGAGTAATAATTCCAAAATGGCCACCAGTGAGACAGACTATTATGGTATATGAGTATTAATTCCAAAATGGCCACCAGTGAGACAGACTATTATGATATATGAGTAATAATTCCAAGATGGCCACCAGTGAGACAGATTACTAAGGTGATTACTATCAGTGAGGCAGAATACTACGTTATGTAAAAAATAATTTCAAGATGGCCACCAGTGAGACAGATTATTGTGGCATATGGATAATAATGGTCCCTAGTGAGGTGGTCTAACCTAATGGTACATATGATGGCACACTTTGAGCTCTGCTTCCAGGCTTTAAGTATCTTCCCAGAATTCCACTTCTATTTATTTCAGAAGCCCACGGCTCAGAAACTTCTGACTCGTTATCATAAGTACTACGTGGATGGCTGTTTCCTAAACTGGAACTTGCGAAGCTCGTTGTTTGACGACTGTAACCATACACGCTACGACTGCTCTGACGACTTGGACCTCTGTCTTCTAGTGACCTCACTAATAATTTACAAAGCTTGTATTCCAAAAATAACTGGGTTCTTAAAAAGAAATAAAAAACATGTGGTTTATAAAACATAAATGACAAGATGATATATGACATCATGCTTTTAATTATTCTTGAAAAATGATAATGTGGCTGGTTTGAGTCATAGTGTTGAAATATTTTACAGAATACTTCATCCACAAAATGCATGTTAACACCAAAACAAAAATGCAAATGATTTTCATAGCAAAATTAACATCCGCACACGTACGATCATCATGACCTGTCTAACCGAAAATCTAGAGAAGAACTGAATTGATGACGCACAACTGTTAATTAAAATGATTAGCATGCCCATTTATCGCAATTACCAGTAATTTATTCATCTTCTCAAAATAATAACAGCATAGTAATGAAACATTTAGAACAATTAATTAAATTTTAAACTATGGGCAAGTGGGGAATAGTTTGGCATCAAGATCAGTATAACAACAATGACTAAATAAAATACATGAATAAGGGGGGTCAACACTACAAGTGGCGCCTCACCCCCTCCTGCTCCCTTATTAGAATTACAAACGTACTACAAGATACTGGCCTTTAACATCAGTTGCTAAGCAACAGACATCCCATAAGTTACCAAAGTCAAAGGAAACGCATCAGTTAATGCATTCCTACGGAGATTTTTAAAAAAAGTCAATTAACATCATTTGGGAGGTTGATTAGTGATGCGTGATCGATGCACCAACATTCAACTATAATTAGTCACTACTGTGTTTTTAATGTCATATATACATTGTACGTGTATTTGTATATTCTGTTTTATAACTAAATTGAACTACGGTACTAGAAATATTCACAAGTAAATTAATTAAGAACGAAAGAAAAAATAAATAAATGAATAAATAAAAGTGTACCTTAGAAATAATGGAAGCCTATCCCTTTTAGCCCATTCTAGTATCCGTTCTCTTTCTTCTTCAGAGGGTGCGAATTGTGCTGGTATTGGTGTGTTGCATAGCGAGGTGTCGCCGAATGGGTAATCTTCAACTTCTTGAAACGTGCCCGTTAATCTATTGTAGTAAAGTGGCTGTGGAAAGGCCTGAAATATTTGCAAAAGATAACGTAATATCAGTAATTTTGTAGATATTGTTACATTCTATAATTGTTTACATCTTAAAGTGTTTTTACTTACATGGTATGTATAACTGAAGTATTCCAAACTGTAATTTTCCCTTTTCGATTTTGTTTTGTTGTTCCATTTTTTTTTTGGAAGAGGAAAATGGAACATACATTTTTATCTAGAGATCTTCTGCCTAAGACAAATACTTACTACCAATGCACTGGCTGTAATTGACCGTGATAACTAACAGTACTATGATACATACATGATTGTATTATGGTCTCATACACCACCATGGTGGATACATGACCAGTGACCTCTAACCTCAAAACAGACGCCTACTAGTTAAATTTATTACGCTGGCTAAACATGAAATTGGAGTAGATAGAATTGATAAATCCCTTGTTTCATGACAAGGACTAACAATAAAATAATTAATCTGAAAGAACGAACAGTGACATTCAATGTCAGGACATGTCCCCCTAGAAAAAAAAATATTTAAAAAAAAGCATTATTATGTGTATTTTTAAGTAGGGGAACTATACCAGTAGCAAGGTTCAAAGATCTTCTAAGCGGTAACCAAGCTACTGAAAGCACTATTAGACAGATGGCTGTATACTGACAGAGCAATTATAATATACTATAAAATGACTAGATTTCACTGGGTTTAAATTTCCCTGATTTACCATTTCAGGCATATTCAGTGGGTTTTAAATTCACGGTTTTATCATTTAGATAATGTGTTCTATGCTAAATTTTACACATTCACTGGGTTTCAATTTAGCACATTTTCCAGTCAGCGAAATAAGCAAAATTAAAACCCAGTGAATAATTAATCCTTCTACAGTAGTAACATATTCAAAATAAAATTTAATGTGTGTATAAAAATACAGTAAAAAAAAACAAATAATACATTTTTATATATTAACTATGCCACACCAATCAATAATGAAGTTATGTACATTATTTGTTGTATTTATTCAGTACATGTAAATTAATTCAGTTCTACTTCACCAGAGGGCATGTGTGTATTTACTTCGTGGTTTGCAAGTAAGGTCACAATGAGAGGTGAACGCAAATACAAGCAAGTCTGAAAGACGCACAGTAAGAACTACAAACAGTACATTCTAATTAAACCAATGTTGTTTGAATGAATTGAGTTTTTGTTGTACAAGTGAACCTCTGAAACACAGCTGTGGACCAATTATTTTACATCCAGGTGCTATTAATATCGAGGAAAGATAAATTCCTAGTCAATTAATTCTTGGTTGCTGAAATGTCCATCGGGCAGCATTTAAAAGCAAAACCAAAGGTCACGACACAAGAGCATGGTTGCCATGGTAGCTTATCAACAAAAGATTAGGCGAGTATACAAAAAAATTGTAGGCAGTACATGCCTGATCAGTACAAGTTTTATGTCCATTGCTAGAGGTGGATTTGAACTTTCCATTTTAAGGTTGGTTGCGCATAATAAATAGGCTATTGAGAATGCAACTATACAAAGTGCCGATCAGGAACCGCGAAGTATAACTGAACTTCTTTCATCAATAAATAATTGGAATGTAAAGTGAACAGAAGGACAGACAATCCAACAAGTGGTTTGAAAACTGTGACTTTTTAGTTTCGGGAGGGTAATCTGACTTCCAATTGTCCCCGGGAGCAGAATAGAATTCACATAAATATGGCTTAAATCTTTTAATTTCAGTCGGGTAATTGTTCAGCATATAGAGTTTCACTTCTACAAAGAACCCTCAAAATAACCATAATTGAATTGGCTTTTGTGATGAAAAAAACACATTTTTAAGCGTAATACCTTTTGAAAATACGTAATTGGAAATAATGAAAACTTGCTTTAGATCAGTTGGAATGGAAACTTAGTTTATTGAAATGATAGATAAAAGGGAGAAAGAAATTTAAATTACTCGACGGCGGTCAGTGTTTCTATAGTGTTATGTAAGTTACTCTTAGTAATGCAGAATCTAATTACAATTACAATGCAGGCCATAATCAACAAATTTTATGTAATACGACAACATAGTTTACTTTTTCAGTCTCGCATGTAGGTTCTCTATGGCAATGAATCAAGATAAATGGTGAAAACAAAATTGGTACAAAATATTTGTAAGAAAATATATAATATATGTGTAAATTATTTGAAACAGTTGGAGATGAATGATACTCTGTACCAGAAAAATACATGTAGATTAAACAAAACTTCAGCAAACCCTATTTTCGCATTGATATTTAAATTGCATTTGATAGTTCATGAAACCATGGAGGTATAAACAGATTTATACCTCCATGATGAAACACACTAGAAAAAAATACTGATACAATCTGAAATTGCAGAAAAATATTCTGTCTGTATTAAAAACCATATTGAATATATTTTACCAACACTCGCCAGTAATTTTCAAAGGACCATTTAATTTAATCGTGAAAGAAAGAAGCTTTCAGATTTCAATGAAAAACCAAATTGAGAGAGAACGTGGACAATGGGGAATGTCAATCAGTTAGGCACGCAAGACCTGGGCCTTTTAAATCTTTGCAGGATTTGCCAAACAAAGATTTAGTAAATATGGCCTCATTGACATTTTGAATGATTTCTTTATTTACGGTTTTATATATAGATAGTGCCTTGTATCATCGTAAGCTGCAGAGGTCAAAACAAGAAAATTAATGAGACAATTTCAATTTCTTTTTGGCAAAGAAATCGATGAGCTTTAATAATTAGAGGGTGAGCTTGTTGATCCATATAGCACTGTAGGCCATTGTAAACATTTTATTGAATCCAGAGTGGCTTCCATTAATACATATATTTGTTTAGTTATAACTGTACAACAACAGCAGTATCATAGTTATGTCACTGACGTGTAAAATTAAATGATGAAATTATATTTAAAATGAATATTATGATTATCATTATATTTGTCACTATCGCCAAAAGTTACAGCATGTGGTAATTGTGCGGTATTGCACAGGGTATTAGGAAAATGCAAATTTAAAAATATGGAATGATTATGAGGTTAATGCAAGATGGCAGAAAATAAACTAACAGCAATAAAGTCTTTCTAATTTTCATCATCTTGCTAAGTTCTTGGCTTCAAATAATGAGTGGTTGGATCAGGAAGATGACGTATAATAATACTAAGGACTATTACGAGGATATTGCAGACTCAGACTATACGTGATTGCAACAACCTCCACTACTCTGTACTGCTGTACTCTTTTTGTACATACTTTGTGGTATCATCGTATAAACCTTGTAGTATTATACATGTACCTTATTAGGAAATAGAAATGACTAATAAGGAATGATGATGTGATATTTCCAAGATGGCCGACATTTTTCACAATGAAGTATCAAGTATTATATCCAAGGTAGAAATCATCTCAAATAAATAATTCATATACATTAATATAAAATTTTAATGGCATATACTTACTGGCAGCCTGAGAAAGACATTAAAATAATCTAAAAACAAATCATCATACGCCAATAAAGCTTCGAAGTTATCTTCCGTCACTTCAATAGCTGGAACAAAAAGAAAAGAAAAGAAATTCAATAAAATATTGATGACAAAAATATTGTTGTGGTATATTAATTAAGCGGTACACTAGCCTGCATGACAGATTAGTTTTACTGCTGTTGTATTGTACATTCTACTGAAAAGACTTGCATTTGGTTTGTTCAAAGACCATGTACTGTAAAAGGGTTAATTATTCACTGGGATTTAATTTAGCTTATTTCGCTGACTGGAAAATGCGCTAAATTAAAACACAGCGAATATGTAAAATTCAGCATAGAACACATACCGGTAATATCTAAATGATAAAACTGTGAATTTAAAACCCACTGAATATGCCTGAAATGGTAAATCAGTGAAATTTAAACCCAGTGAATATTAGTCATTTTACAGTATTCAAAATCTTTCAATTTTATTTTAGTTCTCGTTTTGAACACAATCACATGCAACATGAATACAGACACTATGTACATCTTGTATATATATAATCTCACTTTATAGTATTATGTCAAGTAACATAATCTGTGAATGGCAGTTTGAAGCAAACGTTCCAAACGCCATGCATGTTCCGCAAAACAAAACTATGGTATGCATCATGTAATCGCTGCCTATGGTTAATATGGTTGTTATGGTTATGATTGCTTTGGATCTATATGGTTGCTATGGTTCAATATGGTTGTTATGGTCATGGTTGCTATGGATCAATATGGTTGCTATGGTTCAATATGGTTGTTATGGTCATAGTTGCTATAGATCAATATGGTTGCTATGGATCAATATGGTTGCTATGGATCAATATGGTTGCTATGGTTCAATATAGTTGTTATGGTCATGGTTGCTATGGTTCAAAATAATTATATGGTATATTCAATTGACTAAACCAAGCAAAGTACAGTGCAGTTTTGCCATTCAAACTTCAAGTTTACACAAACCGATGAAAAATGCAAAACAAAAACAAAATACATGATTCTCATTAATTATTTGCAAATAATAAAAATGTTTACAGACATAATATGTAATCTGAGTGATTAGTTCACCTAATTACTCAAACACTAAGGCACAACTGCAACAGATATTACCATGGCGATTAACACAATCTTGTTACTATGGCAACAGTTACTACCGCAGTACCCCAAGACGACTTTATTGTACCAAAATTTAATTCAACTTAATAGGTATCATAATGCCGCAGATACTACACAAGACAGGCAAGCATGGCAATGGACACAATGTTGTTTCCATAGAGACTATCATGATTAGATATCGCTGAAATAGTAACTGCCTCACCGCCATTATTACCATGACAATATTCATTCCATGGGTACTATACTACCACTACTATACCGACACATAATCATTATCACAACACTGACATCATGGCAACTGTCATTATTCCAATAACCATGGCAACAGTGATCATACCACTCTACAGATACCATGGTGATCTTAGCTACAATTTGTTCCACATTACAATATCTCAATATTATGGCGTAATTCATAGATTTTATTATTTACTACTCACTCAATATTTGAATTTCTAGTAAAATAAATATTCAAGGAATTATTTAAAAAATGTAAAAACTATTCTTTGCTTTCTTGATGAGATTACAAAAAAATACATTTTTTATGTTTCAATCAAATCATAATTTACCTGACAAATAAAAGTAAGCCGTATTAGTGATGTATTAGCATTATGTGACAGTGACGGCCATTATATGCATATAAGTAGCCTTGGTACCACTACAGGAAATCTCTCTGTGAGAACAGTGCCTCTATTGTTGATAGATGAATCAGTATGAAAACATTACAATTGTCCAAGTATGTGGACATTTGTAATCATGCTATTTATGTTAATGTCCTTATGCTCACAATATTACTGTATCACAGTATGATGAACATCGTCAATAGAAATGAACACTGCGAAGTAGGAATCAATACGGAAACAGAAATACACAGCGGCTAAAATAAAATATGTAGTGTATAATACAGCTTTGAAAGCAAAATTAAAAAAAAACAAAACAAAAAAACACTACGGTTCTGCATAAAGTATGATTTTAAGCCTATTAAAATAAAATACATACATATCTGAGTAAATTTTCAAACTACAGCGGATATGATACATATTCATTTTATTTCGCATGTGAATATCTGAAAATGGAATACGTTGTGAATAAATAAAATTTATGACAATGCCGGTTCAGCGAACATTCCCATTTGTAAAATATTAATGCAGCATGCAGTCCAGCCGGATACATATGAAATGGCAAATTTTACAGTGTTAAAGACCTGGAAAATCTACACCAGTCTTAATGAGAGGGATTTCAAAGATGGCGGACAGTTTTAGAGTCTTGCACATAGCAACAATCATCCAACCATAGTTACCGACTATACAGCTTATTGACACAATGAAGTTCAAATAATATGTTCTAAAAATAACCTTGGTTCAAGTCTTCGGAAATCTGACAACTGTAAATTTAAGGTCACTGTCTGTGATATTAATGTGATTTATTGTGATCAGTGACTAGAATTTTTTGATATAAGTAATAATTAATAAATCATGATTTTTTGGAAATTATAAAGTAAATGTATATAAGCAGTGATATCAAATATAGATCAGCTGATAAAAATATGCATTGGTATAATCACTGATATGATAAAATTAATAAACCGGCTTGACTACACAGGGAGTATATGAAAGAGTATACAGATAATCAAAACATGCTTACGTTTCCAGGTCAGATATGTTGGATAGTCGACAAAGTTTGAGACCAGATGGGACAAATCAAAGACAAATTTATAAAGTCTGGAACCCTTCCAGGCATAGCGAACCAACACCATGGTTTAGAAGCTTCATGAAACAGACATCGTACGTACTACAGAACCGACATCCGGAACAGCAATTGCAACACACTGCATCAATGTAGTAACTAAAACTACTAGACGAGTACAACCGATGGATTCAGTACTTTTCGATCAAGATAAGACTAATGATTTATTTAACCTTAGAGTTTACGGCATTAAATGCCGAGGCTACCTACTTGCATAGTTGGACAGTGTAGTTGTCAACGCATTGCGATCCATCGTAAAAAATCTGCTGACAGGAAATAGTCCAAGTCTGTATCTGAAGTCAAACGATTCTCTCGGCAGGATTTAAAAAAATAAAACGCGAAAAGGAGGCCGTGCTATATGCACAGCGTGCAAGGAAAGCCAAGCATAACAAACAATAACTACCGAGTTGTATTTTTTTTCTCTTTATTTAACTTTAGCATTCAGTAATCAAAGTAAAGCTTTTTTTTGCTCTCGCTAATGAGAACAATGACAACGACAACAACTGGAATTAGTGTTTTTTATTAGGTTCGGTACGCAACACTAGAAACTGACAAAACATTGGACCAGGTGGAAGTAAACGTAGATTGAACTGACAGTTTCTATTATTTCGAGTACTCTGCACACATTGCAAAACTTAGCTCTACCAGAAAACGAAATGCTATTGAACTCTCCTAAGATACCCATAATGCATTGGTATGTCGCTTAAAAAGTTCATTCAAGGTACTAATCAGTATGGTTTTATATTAAGCGTTCATTTATTTTATTTAAACGAATACATTTGTTCATTTGACATGTTGCAAAAATAAAAAAAATATAACAGTTTACAGAGGCTATTTAAACATGAACAGTTTTTTTTAATGTTGATTACATTACATGTACATTCTAAGCCGTTTTATGCCTAGCAACACCACCATGTTTGATTACGACCGGTTGAAAAATACACACTGTAAATCAAACTAACGACTATTGTTCTTGTCGATTTGTCAAGAAGACTGAGAAATGGGAAGAAGGAAGAAAGGTAACGTATGTATTTCCAGAAATGCCACACAATATCTGACCTATTCACCATCTTGGTATAGCTCAGTCACCTGTCATAAAATAGTCCCCTTTCAAAAACTGCTGCTTTCTATCCAAAAAGTACATTTTTTATCAAAATCTGCAACATCTTATTGTCTGTTTTGTTCCAGAAGTTATATTACCAACAATTTTTGAAAACTTTCAAAAAATAGCAAAATATTATTTATTGCATGCTTGATGAGAGCCTTGTTTGC